TCATATAATGCAAAAATGGGGGGAAAAGTGATTGGTATAGGAAAAAGAGAGAGGGAGAGAGAACATTCCACAAAGCATCCTTTTCAGTCTATAATATAAAATGTTTTGAGAACACTTGTTTTTCAGTATTTGTATGAACACAGGCATTGAGTAAATGTGTACTTGTATAAGATGTTCTGATACAACTGTCTTAACAAGAATAAAATATGACAGTCTCAACACAAATTCATAGAATAAAATCAATGTACATATAGTACAGCAGTCTATTCAAATTTTCTCAGCCTATGCTAATGCAAATTTAAAATCAGTTAAGAAATTACATCATAATAAAGAATAATTTAGAAAAAAAAAATGTGTTCCTTGATGTTCTAAAATGCATACTTCATTGTTACTGTTCTTTCTCAGTGCTAATTGCTGCTTAGGATGCAGGGCAGCAGGCATTCTCTACACTGCATTCCAGACTCCTTTGAAGAGTTACAGAAAAGAAGGACAGAAAGACAATTTGTTATTCACTTTCAGTTATGGAACAGAGTCAAGAAAATAAAAAGATCTTTTTGGAGTCAGTTCAAAAAATGTGGCAGCTAGAGCAGTGACAGCTGAGCTGCATTGCCTGTTGTCCACCAGGCAGGCTGGTTCCCATTGGAGGAGAAATGGAATATGGGCTACATTTTTATTTTTGGAAGGTATATGTAACCTTACACCAACTAAACCTTTGCAAAAAGAAAAAGTGTGAAGAAATCCCTCCATTTCAGGGATTACAGCCAAACTCAATGTCTTTCCCTGAGTTTAAGCTAGAAGAGTTAACCTTAACTCATTAGTTGTCTTATCTTTCTTAAGAAGAAGAATAATACATGTATTGCAGTGGAGGAAGAAGGCAAGATTATTTCATCATCGATTGTAAAATGTGGACAGCGTGGTGGACTGCAGTTCTTATTCTGCTTTTCCTCAAGTAGTGTTAGTGGAAGCAGAGAAGACCCTGGAAGGGGAAAACACAACCAGTGCAACAGAGACATCTATCTCTACAGACAATGGGAAGGTGACACCATTTAGACACTTAAAGAAGAAGTTACACTTCTTGCAAGGGAAAGCAAAGAGAGAACTGGGATGGCCTCCAGTGCTGAATAAACAATAACCACTGTCAGAAAAATGCTAAAACCTCTACAACTAAATGCAGTGAAAAGCTAGTGCCAACCAGAGCTGGTTAGTCTACATAGCATGGCACAATAACAATTAAGCAGGCAGGCTTGCCCAACTGTGACCTGCATTGGCATCCCCAGGTTTCTAATTCCATGACAATTTCACTGTCTAACTGTCTTTATACTTGCAACGCCAATGTTATTATATATATATATTAAAAAAAAAAAAAAGTTGCATTATAAGTTTTACATATATTCTATACATAAAATAAAATAAATAAAATAAGTTATGTTGTAAACTTACCTGTTACAAAACCATTTGATTTCATTTCACCAGATGCATTTAGTGCAGTAACACAGAGAGGGAAATAAGTTTACAATCAACATTTAATCTGGTTATTGTCTCAATAACAGCAAAATTGCAGCAGGTTTTCATGGTAATCAAAAAAGCTCTAGGCAATGCCAACCCTGTGTCTTAAATTACCACTTAGAGACAAAGCATAAGCCATTTTACAGTTGTACACTGGTGGCATTACTGGTTTTGACCTATAAATGCCAAATTTCACATAAAGTACAGTGTAACATATAAACTTCTTTCAAGCTTCCTTTTGCAGACACCTCAGAAGTCACGTACTGATCTCCATAGGTTTTAGGTAGAAAATCATCACTCTTCACCCTCCAGGAATTACTATCAGGCAAATGGAGTTCTCCACAGTGCAGCACTAGCCAAGTCTGTATGTACTGTATTTCAGGGGGTTCTGAGATGTATCTAGAATAAAACAAGCAAGGTAAGCTGAGAATGCTGCGAAAGACTACCTGTACCCACAGGTAGGCATAATGCTGATAGTGGGACTTGATTATATTCCTGCTTATAGAAATCAAAAAGAAAACGAATTTTTGTTCTTGCTTTGAAAGACATTGTGTTGACAGCTCACAATTCAGTTCTGAAGCTGTGGAGATATTTGTACCATAGACATAAAAAAATATCAAAATATACCAGCAGAATTTTCAAGTTTTATTTAAGTTCACAGAGCCTGGAAAAATTCTGACAAAATGCCTGTAGGAAGTCATGTTACTAACTCCTGGGGTATTTATAGTAAGATTTATTGCCTTCTTCCAAAGACTCTTAGCAAGAAACTGTGTCCAACTGAGTTTGAGAGAATAGATAAAAGATTTGACCTCCAGTCTCTAATAACAACAGTGGACACTGAACTAGATTATCTGGCCAGCAAGGTGAATTATCTTGACCACTAAGTGGATGTGATTAAAATCAGGGATGGGCAGAGTTTCTAGCAGACAATAAGAGAGCAACATAGATCACTCCATTTCACATCTTCCATGTGAAAGCATGATTTGCTTTTGGAATAAGATGTTACAAAGATGGACACAAATAAATCATAATACCTATTTGTTCACTAAGTCTGCAGTTGATGAAGTAAAAACACTTGCTGAATTTCCTTTGAGTCATAGATACTGAACATTATTGTCAAGGATATCTTTATTCACTGAGTTGTCTTCTCTGTCTCGTGGACATTCATCATGCCTCAGATTTAGGTACTGGAGACATTGTTTATATGAATATTACAAATTTATTTCTAACCTCTCTGTTTTTCTTTGTGCATGATTAAATTAAAAACAAAAACACCAACTTGATTTTTTGGAGGGGGCAAGGAAAGCTTCTGTGCTACAAAACACAGATGGTACTGAAAAAGAAACAAGTAATTCACACATGGCATACATGTCAAACTTTTTTTTTTCTTCATATTTCTGCGTTAGATTTTCTGTCTCTTCTCCCTTCACCTATATTCTTCTCCTTTATTGAATGCAAACTCAAAGAAGCTTAAATCAAATATATGAAGTCACTAAGTTCAAGCAGATTTGAAATTAGGTGAAGAAAGTTCACTGAAACTCACAGACTATATTTCTATCTTCAGCAATTTTGAAAACAAACATAATCTGTATCCATAGGGGAAGAGACTGAGGCTGCCTCTGATAGCAGGAAAGTCGACCTAAGTCTTTTCAAATGCAATGGACTTTAATAAACTTATCTTAAAATGTCCTTTTGGCTGCTAGATGGAATAGGCTGTTAGATGAAACCTTACAAATTGTTTTTTCAGATATTTTTGATATTGAGATTCTTATGGTCATTATTTCATTACTATTCAAGCCTTGCAGTCAAGATTACAGTTTATAAAAAGGCCAGGCTCTGACAGTTTATAAGAAATTATGTTTCTGTGCTATTTATTGTCTGTTAATTCTTACAGACTACCACTCCTAACGATCAACACTCCAGTGTGTATTTTATGAATCTTTCTGAATCTTTCTGTTGTTTACTTCTAATTGGAACTTGGAACACCGTCTGCCTCCTTAAAGCTTCCAAAAATATGCTAAAAAGAGGTTGAAATAAGGATTGTGTGAAGGGTAGTTTTCATTTGCATGAATATATTCAACTTGTGTCATGATGCTTGACATTAACGTAGCATCATGAAGAGCAATAAAATAGGTTGAGGCAGACAAGAATTTTATATTGAAATACATAAACACAAATTATAAAGCTTGACAGTTCATACAAATCCAAAGAAAATTCTAACAATTAAGATATATAAGGTGAGGCTTCATAATCCATCAAAATGCTGACAAGTATTTTGTCTAACTCATATTCAGATACTGACAAATTTGAAGCTGAATCATTTTATATCATAAAGAACATTAATGAAAACCTCCTAATGTAAAGATAGTCTTCCTAGAAAAACAATCAACAACAGTTTTATTTGAAACTTTTGAATATACATGGTGGAACTTTTGCATCATTAGTGAAGATCCAGTCCTTCAGGTGAGGAGAACATTTTCCCAGTTGTGGCATGGCTAGAGGAAGAACAAATTGTAAAAAGTCCAGGAAAAGAGAAGTGTATGAACTAAAATAGGAAGTAAAGGAAATGTGTGAATGAAGAATTTCTGGGCTGAGAGGAGAGGATAGAAGCCAAAGGGAAAACACCTTTGCAAGGTGGCATTGTCAGTCATAAGAAAAAAAAAACTTGAAGATGAGTCAGAAGAGAAAGAGGAAAGTGAAATCTAGAAATGTTGGGAAATGAGCTTGGTGATAAAATGAGTCTGGGATCCGTAGAAAATGAAAAGCCCTTTTGCCTCACATAGCTGTTCTGAATGTGTTCTATTAATCAAGGAATAAATCATAATCAGGGAATAAAAATAAAATTTGGATATGATCTGGAGTTTAGGAGGAAAAAAATAGATTTCATTTTCATATACCTATGTGTAAGCACAGTCTTACTCAACTCCTAGATCTGGGATTTCAGGTATAAAAATCACCTATCAAGGGTAAAGGAATGTAAGTTTATTTTAGCTTTACAAATCTCTACTGCCAACGAGACAGAACTTAAGTGGTTCACAATGTGAATTTTGCAGCCTAAACCAAGCATATACAGCATAATTTTATAAAATCAATATAGAAATGTCTCCTCTGCAAAATTCCTACTTGTTCTGCCTACCCCTATACAAGAAAGTGTGAAACAACCTGCAGCTGATTCATGCTGTTCCTGCAAGGGGGAATATTTTTACATCCAGATCTTTTCCCTTGCTCTTTATTTGTTGTCAGTACAAGCAGCAGAGAGACTTCCTTCTGCTTTATCAAATGGTACATTAACAACAAGTTTTTATTAGATACTAATGACTTTACCCCACTTGCCTGCAGCCTTACCTCATTTCAGGCCTAGAGGCGATAACAAAAGCACAAAAGTCTGTGTTATCATCATGGTCACCCTCACCAGAGGTACACTGGCCATAATGACCAGAATCTTCAGGCTGCATTATACTGACAGGAGGAAGAACAAAGAGAGAAACCCTGATGGTCAAAAGTTTTGTGAAGAAAACTCCTGAGTTCTTGAACTTGCTTTATTTAATTTTATTTACCATAGAAAACAGAAATAATGCTAACGTTTAATCATAACGTGAATCTAAAAACTCTCATTCTTTTCAGCATGGTAAAAAAGTTAAAATTACATATTAAAAACAATGAAAATACATTTATTTGAATTTTAACATTCTCTTTTCATTACATATGTATTTATATAAATCCTAACAATTCATCACAGTAGCCACGCTGTTTACAAAGAAACATTTTTCCTTCATAAGGATCAACAAGGGCATAGATCCATAAGTGCATGTTGTGACTTAAAATAGGACACAGCTCTTATTTAGCTATATAGCACCATAAATATATTGTGGAACAAAAAGAAAGGCTTACTCACAAGTAGTAACCATCTTCCCCTCATGCTAATCCACTACTTTGTAGTCTTATGCAGCCTGTGGAGTATTAAAAATTATTGTAAAGTAGAAGTGATAGTTTCTTTTTTTTTTTCTTGTAGTTTTGCAAATAAATTTCCACTGAAGTTACCCCATAAAGCTAAATCAAAGCTGATGTTTTTAGCAAACAACACTCATAATAAAGGATAATTGGTTTATCCTATTCCATGTTTTTACCTCTTTGTTTTTGTTTTGCTTTGACTTTCAGTTTTGATGGTTTTATTGAAGTAGCATGAAAATACATAAGTAAGAATTTACTGTGAAAACATCATAGTAAATCATGTATCAGGTATCGTACTGAAAACTCAGCACACATACTGGTAAAATACATTTTATTTTTTAGAGTATGCAGGTTGCAGAGGAATGTAATGGAAGGAAGTAATGCTGCTGTACTGGTGGAAATATTATGTAAAAATAGTGCATTCCTATCATGTGCACTAGCTGGCAAAACCCCTCCCTATGTTCAGGCCAAAGAACCTCTTCTGAAAAGAGTCAGTGCTTTCTTAAAAGGACCAAACTTAATCATACAGGATGTCCCCATAGCTCAGTCCCCAGGGTGCTTACGAATTTGGCAATTGGTAATTTGGAGACAATGACCATGTCCTTGAAGATATTTCAATGCCGTATGTTGACACATCTAAACAACAGGTTGCACTCTTCCTTATGTTGCTTAGAATTTTCTTCAAGCTTTAACATCTGATGTCTCTATGCTTCTCAGCTGACAAACCCAAGCAGAACAGTCTGAAGTAATCCAGTGATAAACAAGCCTCGAATCATGGTAGCAAAGTCCATATCTGACAGGAAAAGGTGCAACCTCCAGCACAGCCTCCGGTAACAGAAAACATTCTTTCCATTTATTTATCAAGGATCAGGAAAGTCAATTCAGCACTTTAACAGTCACAGGCAAATGTCCTCCTTAGAGATTCTATAATCATTCATCAGTTCCTAGAAATATTTTCCTTCCTTACCAGCATCACTTTCATCACACCCAGGAGTCGAACAGACTGTTCTTCCGTCAAGCAATTACGTCTTTCAGACAGAGGGACACATTGTTGGTGCCATCATCTCTTCCTGACAAGAAGGAAACAGAGTTGAGTGTGTCTGTACACTGGTTTTGTAACTTCTAATAAAGTCATTTAAATTTGCAGCACATATAGCAAATGCGAGAGGGGACAAAGCTCAGCTTCAAATGTCAGAGTCCTTTGCAGAGAGTAACAAATGGCCCTACCCCTGGAAAAGGACAAACCTGCAGAACTGCATGGATCAGTACTGCAGTCCAGGGAGACTGCATTGAGAATATTCCCAGCAATAAAAACTCTAGAGTACAATTTCCACACAGCTTTTACAAATGGTGGAATATCCTAATGATTCCTGGGTTGTTTAGTGATTTCCTTGTGACAGAGACTTTAATTTGAATGGGTATAAAGAAATACTATGTGGTATTCTTAAAATATAAAGAATACATTTAAATATATCCTGGTGGCGTTGTTTTTCTCTATGATTAAGTAGCTTGTTTAATTGCAATGACATTTTTTTTTCTTTTTTCTTTTTTTTTTCTCCCTAAGAAAATAATCATCCTATTAAAAATGGAGATGGTATTTCGCTGTTCAATTTTAAGACACGGGCATTTGACTCTGAGATGTTTCTAGAAATCCATTTGTTACCTGCAGCAACTTATTCTAAACATGAAGCACTCAAAGTATTTTTGTTTACAAAAGCTTCATATGAAACAACTGGGATAAGGAAACAGGCCTCTATGTATGGACTTTCACATAATTTTGCAAATGAGAAATCACAGGCTATGAGTCCTCCTTGGTAAAATGTGCTCATGAAAAGACAAATAATGTGAAAACTAAACTAAACCTGTGTAGTTAAATATACCTAAACATTGTTGTTAATTTAAAAATAAAGATTTCTACTTGGTTAAGGAATAGTTCGGAATTATTTGTAATAATTGTAATTCAGGATATGAACTCCTTTTCTTGCATGTGTGTGTAGGGACAGAGGAACTCCCGAGGTCAGGGAAGTAGCAACTGCAAATATTAATTATGGTACTGTGGTAGAAATGGCACTATATTTGTTATTAGTCAACAAAACATATTCTTCATTAGAATTAAGCCATATAATTAACTTTTTTATTCTTAATACTCTGGTAGAAACAGGCTTGACAGGATGGAGCATAAAATGTATTTTATAAACAATCCTTTCTGTAATTGGATTGTCCTGAAAATATAATCCTTTCCCTCTGGTTTAAAATTATTATTTATAATCACAAGCTTTGGTAAATATAAAAATGCAGAAGCCTAAGCCCAAGCAGTGTTTTCAGTTCTGTTGCTCTTTTCCCCCTCACTCTTCTGCACCTAGGAGCATTTTCTTTGAGACAGAAAGAGGGATGCACGCAGAATGCCGAATGCAATCTTGCAAATGTAGTCTGGTTTTGCTCCCTCACATTTTCTTTTTCAGAATCCTAATGTAACACCTCCCTGCACTATCACTTGTTAAAGCCCCAGCTCCTGAGCTGTTGTGTTTGGTCAGCAATTAAACAGCTCCCTGCATGAGAAATCCTCCCACTCACAGAATCCTTAGCCCTCCTTTCCTAATGGTAGCAGAGCAAAACGGTATATCTTCATACACACGGTGCAACTGCCAAGAAATCAATTCTGTGTGTTTTCCTCCCTTTTACACTTTTAAAGAACCGTGATCAGTTTTCTGTTTCTGTTTCTTTTACACATCCTTTCCAAGCTTTAAAGCAGTGTCTGAGCCCTTCCCCTCTCCCCTGTGAAAAAAGAAAAAAAAAAAAAAAAAAAAAAAAAAAAAAAAAAAAAAGAAAAAAAAAAAAAAAAAACAGGTAGAATTCCTCTGTTACTATTAACACCTAAAAATATGATCATGAAACAAAAGCTTTGCTCCTCTGTCCAATTTGATGTCTTTTTCATGCTGCCTCAGTGATGGCCAAATAATTGGTTGTTCACTTGTGTCCTTGTCTCCCCCGACAGTTCCACAGATGCCCTGAACAATGCTCCAAAGACTGCTTTCAGTAGGGGCAAATCCTCATTAATCATTCCTGGCTGACAGCACAAGGGAACACCTGCATCTGGTGCAGGGACCAGGCACCGGCTTCTGGGAGTCTGCATTAAAAAGACCAACAGCCAATTCAAGTGGTGGGAGTAGGCTTCTAATAGCCATGTGAGAAATCTCTCTCTCTCTCTGGGTTTTCCTTTCATTAAATATCTAAAATTAGACCTGTGGCTCATGTTGAGATTAAAACACCAATGTATTCTAAGCAAATCAGGAAATGAACAGTACTGTATGTTATGATAAATGGCTGCTAAATTCTTTATGTCTAGATCAAGCAATGTTAGCATTAAATACTGATGAACTGTCACATAATTTTCATTTAGAAATGACTGCACTTTGAGCTTCGTGTCCTGTGGTGCTCATAAATATTTTTCCCTGCTATAATTCACAAGTGGACTATACTGCCTATATGGATATTTTTACTGTGTAGCCCCAGCTCCATACTGTATATAAACTCTTTCTCAGTGCAAGCATGTCAACCTGTCTGTCCAAAGTGTTATCAGAAATTGTTCATAGTGCAGAAAGGTGCCGTAGCCTCCCCAGCACTATAAAACCAGCTTCCTATTATAACACTTTCCTGACAGAACAGTTGTCAGATTTTTTAAATTGTTTTTGTTTCACTTAGAGCACAGTGGAGGATTTTCCTCCTAAGGAAAATGAGGAAGGAGTGAGGAAAGCAAAAGGAAATTGTTTTCTATTTGTAGTACTTTTTCATAAAAATGAGTCAGATACATATCTAAACATTTAAGGCCATTAAAATCTGCGGTGAGATTCCAACCGATTTCACTGGGCTTTGGGTCAGGCCCTTAAGCCCCGCATCTGGTCTGTGATTAAATAAGCACATGTCTTCCCACACATAAGCTGGGCAGGACCACCACGGGCTGGGGATTACAAACGACTAACAATGTATTTTTTTGCACATATGACTGAGCACAACCAGGCTTTGAGTCCATCCATAAAATATGTTCATGTCTCAAACAAGAGAGCGCTCAGCTGATACAAAAAGTATCTTTTAAAAGGCAGGCTATTATCACCTATACACCATGGCGAAGATTTTACCAAAGGTCAGAAGGGGGAGTAAAGGAAAGGGTGAGGCAGGGATAAAAAACCACAGAAATCAAAAGCATTAGAATAGTCGAGATGTTGTATATAGCAGAAGGGTATAAAACACATCCAGGGTATTAATTACAAATGTAGTCTGAAATATATTTTTCATGCAAGTTGCTGCTGATGGAATTGATTTTGAAAACAGTGACTGAAACAGACACATTTTGAAGTAGCTTTTATTAACTTTAAAGAGAAGGAAAAGTTTGCACCTTCATTTGCAAAGCATGAGTGTGTTCTGTACAAACATGAATAAAGCTTGCATGCAGTAACTTAACAAAAAAAAAAAAAAAAAAAAAGACAGCCAAGAGAAATATATAAACCACCATATTTGTGAAATCAAGAGTTAAACATACATGCATATATATTTTATATCTTCATTTTTTTCTTTATTTTTATCTTCATGTGTATATATTCTCTTACAATTATTGAACAAAACCTTAAAGATATTTATCTGTTTCACTTCATAGTCAGGGAGAAAAAGTGGTATTTTACATAGAAATACTTTTTCCTACAGAGTGCAGTACCATCATCTGTGCAATGTGAGAAATAATACCAACTCAATGCTCTGAAATAAGGAGACAAATAAGACAGATCAGTTTATTCCTAAGAATAATATTCATAGAATCATAGAATGGGTTGGGTTGGAAGGGACTTTAAAGATCGTCCAGTGGGCAGGGACACCTCCCAGTAGACCATTTTGCTGAAAGCCCCATCAAAACTGGCAAATATTTTTATAAGCTCTTTTAAAATCTCAGATCTTTAAAGTCCCTATTAGGACCTTACACAAATATGTACAGAAGTGAGTAAAATAAGTAGACATGATGTAATTATGTTCACATCTGTTTGTAAAGATGGTAAATATGCTGACACATATACTGTGCATATCTCAATATACCTGAGTTACAGATGAGAAGTATTTAATGTGGGAAGTCCCCTTCCAATTTTCTTTAACTGAGATGTGTAGCAAATTGTCATGCATGCAGGAGGCTAGAATGCAAATTATAGCTGCCCTCGGGCAAGTTTCATTAGGCTTTCTGAAATCTTTTTAAATTTGCTGTGTAAATAATTTCACATATAACTTGACAAAATCTGCTGTTCAAAAATGATATGTTTCATGCCCACTTCAAATGTATTGGGGGGAAGTTCTTCAAAGAGACATTGTTAAGGTAAAAACCTTGTTAAAAATTACTTTGGTTGCTATTAGAAGGTCTGATTATTATATCATATTAAAGTTTTAAAATAACATTGAAAATTTCTTTCTTTTTTTCCCAGATATCACTCACATCTCATATGCTGGACAGCAAGAGGAGACCAGCAAGTTTTTTTGTTAGAATCTGTTTCACCATCCACTTTCACTCTAACCAACTACAATTGATCAGCACAGAAGTTTCCACAAAATTTAAGATGAAATCCCCATATAAAAGGCCTACTTTCATTCCAATTTTAAAAATTCCATTCTTTAGACCATTTCATTTCATAACCATTTTAAAAAATCTCATTAGAGGGAGTTTCCCCCTGAAATACACATAACTCAGCAATACTGGCATACAGCCCATGTTCACTCCCCCCTCCCACTTACTTCTTTCACAGCTTGGAATCAGTCAGTTCTCAGAGGTAATCTAAAACTTTACATACACAATTATTCACGTCAAATGTTCCACCAGTGTTATTACTGGGCAAAAAGTGGACTCATTCCAATAGGAGTTAGAATGGAAAGCCAAAAGCCAAAATACGATCCTTAATAATGACGTGTCTTCAACCCAGCCTTCATCTGCCAGAGCCGGAGAAATTTTCTTGACCCAGTCTAAACCATGTACATAAATCATATACTGCAAAAAGTAAAATGTCAGAGGAATCATGTAGGCAAGCTTCACATTATAAACGTG